TAAGAGAGGGAAAAGGAGAGAGAGGGTTGGTAGATCTCAGAAAGGTTGGAAGAGATCCCTAGTCGCGTGATATGAATTTCCCTGTTATTCGTCACTTCGCGGACGCAGAGTCCAGAGTAGACGCCAGCGTGTCGACCTCGGAATGACCCCTCCCGCGGACTCACGTGTCCGGTCACGTTTTTGTATCTCTTTGTCGGCATCGTTTACTGCATTTTGCTTTGTCATTAATCCTGTTTTAGCATTCTAATTTTCTATATAAATTACATTTTGATAACAGTTTATCATCACGTCAATCGTGACCAAAAGTTGATAGTGTCTAACAACTATAGAATTGGTTTGATAAATGTATATCTAATTGGAAATAAATTGGATAATATTTTGTATTTGAATACAGTACCCCTGAGGTCAAACAATTTTCTATTATAAGAGTTAGAAAACTTAAGTTTACTACTCTGGGAAAGAAAAGGCAATCCCTCACCAATTAGACTTGAAGTACTTTTAAAAAATGCTAATGATTTAAGTTTGATAATTCTACACTGTCTCGTATTAAAACTCTGGGTTAAAGGTTGTTTAAAAAATAGTTACACGAGAGACTTTTTAACGTAGTACTGTTTTCAAGAAGAAGAAGAAAATGATGATCATGTCGAGAATAAGAATGTGCACACACATTAAGATTCAACTAATGAACGCATAGCAATACGCTCTATTTTTTGTTTTGGTTAGTTTTGTTTCCACTCTGCCCTTCTCCTTTGATCCCGGGCAAACGCGAAAATAAGAAGAAAATAAAAATATCCCCTTCCTCCCCCTACTCTATCCTAGCAACCAGACAAAACTAACAGTCCTAACCTGGCAAGATACCACAACATTCTTCTCACCCACAACCTCTTTCTCTCATCCACCGTCCACCCTCTCTTATATTTCACCTGCCAGCCCACCCTTTTCCACAACTACCACCATCGCAGCCAGCCCTCCTTGCCTTGCTAAGCACCCATCTGAAAACACTTTCTGCCAGTGAGGGAACTGGCTTTGTTCAGCTGGCCAGCCGTGAACACCACAAAGCGCGGTCAAGGATTCTCCATTCCAAGCCTCATTCAATGTGTGTGTAGTTGTATGTACTTTGCGCTTTCTTGTTTGTATTCCAACGGAAATATATCTACTCTGACGCATAGTGAGTAGGTATTCTGTTTTTAATAATGTACTAATGGCGAATGCTATCGAGGAGCATGCTTTTGATTTTTGTATTCCTTTTTTTTAAGGGGGGGGG